CAGGGGAGGGTTTCGCATCACCCGTTTCTACTGAGCATCCTTCTGATGGTAATTTTTTCTCACCAACTATGACCCACGAATCTCCATTCGCAGGGAATGATTCAATTCCTGAGATCAACAAGTTTGCATCATTTGAGGGGCAGAATAAAGAAGTGAATGATGATTCAGACACTTAATCAGTTTTATGTAGATTCGAGGAAGTAAACATTGCGCTAAATCCGTTCCTAGATCCAAATTATCCTCCAATGACCAAATGGACAAGAGATCACCCAAAAGCTCAAGTTATTGGTGAATCCTCTGCATGCATCCTTACCCGTTCTCAACTGAAAGTGAAGCAAAATGCATTATTCTCCAAATTTTAATTTTGTATGTTTAATTTATTCGTGTCCAAGATTGAACCCAAAACAGTCAACACTGATCTCAATCATTCTGACTGGGTGCAAGCGATGCAAGATGAACTCAACGAATTTGAATGAAACAAAGTTTGGAGACTGATTCCAACTCCTCCAAATGCATCAGTTGTTGGTTTAAAATGGGTGTTTCGGAATTAAATGGATAAAGAAGAAAATGTCATTAGAAACAAAGCTAGGCTTGTGGTCAAAGCATACTGCCAGGAAGAAGGAATTAACTACGAAGAGACACCCACACCTGTTGCAAGGTTGGAATCCGTTCGCATCTTCTTGGCATATGCAGATCACAAAAATTTTGAATTTTTTCATATGGATGTGAAGTGTACATTCTTAAATGGTGAACTGGAAGAGATTGTCTATGTAGAGTAACCACCTGGTTTTGTTAACATAAAATATCCCAGCCACTGTAATATTATTGACAAAGTGGTTTATGGTCTAAAACAAGCTCCAGGAACCTTGTATGAAACACTAACTAGTTTTCTTAAAATGTCCAAATTCAAGCAAGGTTCGATTTACCCAACCTTCTTTCGCAAGAAAGAGGGTGACCACTCGATAATCGTATAAATTTATGTTGATGACATCATCTTCAGATCCACTAATCCCAGCCTAACAGTTGAGTTCCGAAAGCTGATGGAAACTATGTTTGAGATCAGCTCAATGGGTCTAATTAACTTCTTTCTTAGATTAAACATAAGACAGGGACTGGAAGTAATCTTCATCAATTAAGAGGCTTACACGAAGACTCTACTTGCTAGGTTGGGCATGTTGGGAGACTCAAAGGCGAAAGTTCCAATGGGATTTGAAACAAAACTGACTCCTTTGCTAGATAAACCTGCTTTTGATATGACCCTTTATCGTCAGATGATACGTTCACTCATGTATCTAACAAATAGTAGACCAGATATTACATATTCAGTTTGTTACTGTGCTAGGTTCCAAGCCAACCCACGTGAACCACATATGGTGGCTGTCAGGAATATCTTCTGGTATCTAAAACGAACATCATTTCTTGGAATATGGTATACTGTAAACTCAGGTTTCTTCATACAAGCATTTTCAAATGTTGACTTAGGCGGTTGCGGTATGGATAGAAAAAGCACCATTGGTGGATGCCAATTTCTTGATGGCAAACTGGTGAGTTGGCAATCAAAGAATCAAACATGTGTTTCGTTGTCAACAAATGAAGTTGAATACATAGTTGTAGCTTTGTGCACATCTCAAGTCATTTGGATTCAAAGCCAACTTCGCGATTATTGCTTAATCATGAAAAGAATTCCTCTCTATTGTGACTCCGAAAGTGTCATTCACATTTGTCGCAACCCAGTGCAACGCTCAAAGACGAAACATATAGCACTGATGTATCACTTTATCAAGGATCATGTGGAAGATGGCAATGTAGAGATTCATTTCGTAAGATCCGCTGATCAATTAGATGGCATTTTTACCAAGGCCCTACCTGAATCGACATTTAATAGAATCCTTCAAGGGCTAGGAATGATGGAAGCTTATTCTGTACCAAAACCATTTTCGCACTTATAAAATTTTCACTGCGAATTGGTGCGAACGTTCTCAAGCTTTCACAGTCAACTGTTCATTCACAGTTTGTTTTATGGATGCGAATTAATGCGAACATTCGTATATTCATCCGTGGTTTGGTATTTCATATATCCTTTTGTATATTTTGTATATCCTTGCTTATTTTATTGGTTCTATTTGAAAAAAAATATATTTTATGTCTATTTCTATTTCATTTTTATATAGATTCACACCAAGATCATCGGTGAAGGTGTTCTCAACATTTATCAACTTGTGTGATGGGGCAGGTACAAATCTCCTTACTTATGTATTAGCGAAGTGTCCCGAGAAGCATGATGTTGCAGGTTGACCTAAGCCTCAAGGTCTTGACTATGAAGCCTTAATGAGTTGATACCACAAATCAATTCTTCCAAATCAAGTTGCGAATTCACATGAGTCATGAGCCGCCTTACTCTTCTCACATTGACTTAAGAGTTGTCTGCATGGTCACTTTCACATTGTAGAGGTACTTTCACTTTCTTATAACCACCTATCTTCTTCTCCATCACTCTCACATCCATTAATGTAACCCTTGAGACTCTCAGAAATTATCACTAAGTTTTATGGTTACACAAGCATCTGTGTTTATGATCTTAGTTTCATTCTACCATGAACTGAGTGAAACCCAAATTTCAATACCATATATGAATTGACGGTGAACAATAAAACATTCTAGTATTTTCACCCAAGAATTAACAAAAGTCCACGTTCGTGTTCGGTACCAAGAAATGTCTTTTCTTTTGTAAGATCCTAATGAAGTGCTCTCGTTCCAAGACATTTCTTCCAATGGATCCAGTTTTTTTTTGTTTGGAGATTTCAATATTTTTCCAAGTCACTCAAATATGTTCCGAACCTACTCGTTCAACTGACTACACTAGTCACACGAGAACCTTCTCCGACTTTCGCACTTGTATCAAGTTCGTAGATTGAATGAAGGATGAACCACCTTTATAGGCCTTAATGAAAGATGCCTTTCAATGTTTCTCATCAAAATTTTGATCGTATTAAACAAGAAACCACACAAACGGTTATTAGTCTCTCTTGATTATGAAGGAAGAGATCTTGGCCTAGGATCCATAGATTTATTTACTTAGTTACACATCACAACATTCCTAGATAAAATTTGTTTTATTTCTCTTTCTTTGACACTCTTGCATGAAGGTCTTAATGATTTTCCAAAAGTCTAGTTCGTGGTTATTACCAACTTTCAGTTTCACAGTTGTTTTGAATGTGCTTTCTTTATTGCAAAAGGCGATGAGCTGACACGGAAATTTTTAAAAGATAAGAATTCAAATAGGCATGTGAAAAGTTGAAAGGACAACTACAAATACGCTGCGTGTCGCATGCTTCTGACTCATCACAGCTGTCAAATCGCGCTTTTTCAGGTGACGGTTGATTTTTCAAGACACTCTCTCTCCGGATTTTACTCATCAAATTAAATCATATATAATGGTTTTGACGGTTCCATATCTCATTACCTTTTTCAAACTCTATACACGATTTCCGGCGATCACAAAGCTCTCCACTTTTCATTGTCTTCTTCAAGCTTCATCAATGGTGGCTTCATCAGAGAATCTTTTTGTTCAAGACCATACTGCTAATTTTTCCCTTCTGGCCATTAAGCAACATCAAAATCTCATTATCGAATTTGATCCCGTTCAATATGATCCCTTTCTTTTACATCTGATTTAGTGCTTGAAATACTCCCCTCTCACCATTGCCTTGGCTCAAGTTGAGAATGTTCCACTATCGATTCTCTCCAAAGCTTACACAACAGCTAACTATGTCAAGGAAGAACAAAGGATTTACTTTGACATCCACAATCACACAACATTAATCTCCAAAGCCCGATTCTGCAATTTGTTAGGGTTTCCTCTGTCTAACAACAAGATCAACCCAGAAACCATCTCCAATGCTGCAACCTTATAAATGTTCTATCAAATGGGTTACAAGAAAACTATCACTATGGTTTCCAAGTTCAAGAAATCCAATCTTCCACCCACATGGAATGCCCTTTTCACCATCCTGTTAAAATCATTTTCTGAAAGAGTCACTGGCAATGATTGTGCAAGCAAACTTTTCATGGGTCTGATGTATGGCCTATACACAAGTCTAAATGTTGACTATGGTTTTATCCTCTGGGCTCAACTTATCCAGGACACTAACTTTATTGCTCGTCACAGTGAGATCTCTTGTGCGAGAGTTTGGACCATCATCGTCAACAGGGCAATCAAACAGCTCAAGATTCTGGTAATGTCTGATGTGTTGATGGCTTCTATTGCAACCCTCCATACAACTAACATCATTGTCTCCCACTCCTTCTCCATCTCACAGTGAAAGAGAAGATTCTGACTCTAAAACTCAGTCGGACAATCGTATTAAGCAAGATCCAACAATTCACAATAAAGAGGAAGATTGTATTCGCACTAAGGAACATAAATCAATTCGCATTGAGGAAGTAGAACATATTCCTAACGAACCACCTGTTCCTAATGAGGCTACATCTTCAATTCATGAGGTAACTCCAACACTTAATGATTCTATTCCTTCTCCACCTCCTTCACCAAAATAAACTATTTCTATCCTAATTACCATCGCACCTATGCCACCATCGGTATCATCTCAATCATACACAACTGATCCATCTCAATCCTTATTTTCACCGAATCCACCATATCGCAACACACCTCGGCTCCACTTGTAAGTTCAGTCAACGTATCTAATACGGGGGCTCACACTTCAAGTTTTTCAACCCATGTTACACCTCCCATTTCTCATGTTCGCGCTGATGAATCTGAAATGCTTTTCGGAGATGATGATTTGGACGGATTCACTTACAGTCCTTTTCGAATATGGATTGATAGTGAAGATGAAGTCTCTACTACAAAAGGGGTACTCAAATCTCTACTACAATCCTTTTCGGCTACACCTGTATTAGATACGTTCATAGTGAAGAATAAGTCTCTACTATAGTCCTTTTCGGCTACACTTATAAGTTCAATCAATGTATCTTATATGGGGGCTCACACTTCAGGTTTTTCAACCCATGTTACACCACCCATTTCTCATATTCGCGTTGATGACACTGAAATGCTTTTCGGAGATGATGAAGATGATGATTTGGACGTATTCACTTACAGTCCTTTTTGAATACGGATTGATTGTGAAGATGAAGTCTCTACTACAAAAGGGGTACTCAAATCTCTTCATGAGAAGATTGATCAACTGCTTCTCACATCCAAAGCCTCCACCTCTGATGCTTACTCCAAAACTATTGTTGAATCAATCCTTGAGCGAGTAACAAAGGAACATTCTACCAATGTCTCTACTTTATCTAAGGCAGTTTCTGATTCTACTGATGTCTTGAAGCTAACGACTGAAAAAGTCAATAAACTAATTGCCGACACAATGCAATTTATGGAAGATTACAAAACAACTTATAACTCCAACACAGTAGCTGCGAACAAGGCAATTCAGAACATTGGTATTTTATTTCAAACCAAAAATTTGAACTTTGTTGAGCTTTGCAAGGCTCCTAAGTCTGATCATGAAGCATATCAATCTTCTATCATTGAGCAAATAACAATGCTCCAGGACGATCTTGCAACAAAAAAATAAGATCATGGATGCCATTGCCATCAAGGAAGAAAAATGCAAAGTGTTGGAAACAAAGTTTCAATACGCTCATAAACAGGTCGATAATTTCATAGCAGAGAAGGTAGTCACTCGCAGTTGTATCTCTGATGTCACTGGACTACTCTCTGATATCATTGAGACGCGTGATCTAATGATCTCCATCACAATGAAAAAGCTTTTAGCTGACAAGCAGAGACTGGTGTTTGCTATGTTACACCATTTGGAGGGTGTTTTGCAACCGATGTCTATTCTAAAACAAGGGGGAGAAGGTATCTCCCAAGATCAAACGAATGTTCCCCCCAAAGCTCCAGTTAAACCTCCTGTCTTCAAACAAGAACCAAAGAAGAAAGAAAATATGCTTAATGAAGAACCCATTATTGATGATAGTGAAGACGAAGAGTCTGATGAAGTTGGGATCAAAAGGCAGAAGGATCGCCAGGCAGAGATTGATGATCATGCTCGCATCGTCAGAGAGGCTGAAGAAAAGGAAAATCTGAAAAGGAAGCTCAAGCCACTCTTAAAAGCAAAATGCTTTTATTTCCTAAGTGGACCCTGAAGCGAATGCAAACCCAAGTTGTGGATATGCCTAGCTAGTATTGGTTGGATCCAATTGCTTCTTTTGAAATCCAGAACACATAGGATTCGTAATTGGACCTGCCTATCACAACAAAGGGATTCAGGTTTCGGGATTTAAAAAAAAATTGCCAACATACCTTTCTCAAATAGCAATGCGGATCAAATGTTGTTTGCCTTCTACATGAATCACATGATGCCTCAGTACAAGACTTGGAGTGCGAGCAAGATTATTGTTGTAAATGTCACTGGGTCAATCGAGACCGAAAGCTTCCCTAATGTGAGGTTTAAGGTTGCGAGAAGATCCGAATCTCAAGCCTTCGAATTCACTCTTGTAGACCTACCTTGTTTGAATCCCCATGATTGGATGGTGATAAACAAAATTATGGTGAGAAACTTTGAGAAGTACGAACCTATGGTGTCCCATCTTCAGCTTTTGATCAAATCTTATATTCAAGAAGTTGGATACATGGATGTAGAGATTTCCAATGTTTTGAGGCAAAAACCAAGTGATGCTTCGAAAGAAGCTCCAAAAGACTTTGAGAAGCCCAAGCCAAGAAAATTTTCAAAGAAGGATGGTTCGTAGTGTATACATCTAGAGATCGTCAGGGAGCAGATCGGTGCAATTTATTTTTCCATGTCGAAGACAAGAACTTATTTACCACTTCCTATCCAGAGTTCATCCTGGAGCTGGTTTCGAGTTTCATAGCCAACCACAAGGATGATGTGAAATATTTCACTAATGTGATCACTTGGGATATTCAAGTTTGCAAGCTGCTGTTTGGCTTCTTTCCTAAAGTCTGTGAAGTACAGAAGCGAATCCAGAACTAAATGGCTATGGTTACAATTGACACAAAGGGGGGAGATTGTAGAAGATCAAGTGTTGCATCATTGGGCCTATTCTTTTGAGTCCATTTTGTATAAACGAGTTAGGCCTATCCACTCGGATTTACTGCTAGGGTTAGTATATGAGATTCATGCATGCTATGTATTTGAGGGTAAGTTTTTGAGAATTATCTTTGTAACCCTACTCTCCGCCTCTACAGAAGTAATTCTTCATCGAGTTCTTCTAAGGCATGACTATTAATCATTCAACACTTGTTTGATCATATTGTGTTCTTGTTTTTCCTGCTTTAATCTATTTGATCACAACAGATTTATTGTTATCACAACACTTACCACGAAGTGTTAGAAATGGAAATGAAAGGTTGAATGATGATCACGACCAAGAGTGAAGGTTTCACGACCTTAGAAGGGGTCACGGCACAAGAACACTTGATGTGTTCACTGTAACACCCAAAAGTTGGTATGTCATGTGACCCTCGAGAATTCTACTTTTTCATTTTCGGTCCCTTGAGTACGCTGGGCGTTCCTATGGGTACGCTGGGCGTTCCTATGGGTACGCTTAGCGTACTCTGCCTAGGTGATCTCGGAGGAGCCCCACTTACGTTGAGCGTGTGTGGGGTTTCGCCAAGCGTACACGTCTGAAGGACTAAACCCTAAATCTCATACTTGTTCCCTATTTAAACGCCTTATGGCCTCTTAGGCCAAACCTTATCAGTCCCTTTTAGCCCCATTTCGTCTTCCTTCAGCTGAGTTAGAGTGTGAAAGAGTTTTGGAGCCTAAGAAGAGGGTTTTAGTGGTTACTTTGGAGTTCGTTCAGGAAGAAGAGTTGTTAAGCCAGCTTGGATCAGTTTGGTGCTTCAAGGATCTACTTTTGGGTCATCTTACAAGGCATCTAGAGGTGAAAAGCTTGTACCTTTCCTTGTAAATCTTTAGATCTAGCTAGGGTTTTCTTGTTTGGCCCTTTTGTGAGACTTTAAACCCCTTTTGGCAAGATAAGCAACTCTATGAGAGGAGAATGGCATATATGAGGTCCCTTATTTGTTTTGAAGTATAAAAATGGAGTGTTGATGGATGTATTTGTCACATGCATGGATTAAGGGCTTTAGAAATGTCTTAATGAAGGTTTTTGGTGTATGAGAGGCGTACAAAGGCATAAAGTTGGCAACTTTATGCCTTAGGACGTATTAATCAGTTTATATCTGGCTTTTGGACGTAAAGAAATGGAATATTAAGCACTTAATTAAGAAAGTGCTTAGTCTGGAAGGACGTTGGACGTACTCAAAGTACGCTGCACGTAATCCTTAAAGACCCGGTACGCTGTGAGTACTAGAATGGTATGACGAGTGTACGCATTGCAGTTTGGGCCGGATTTGTTTTGCACCTTTGTGCTCTTGGGCTTCATTTTGGTTAATGGGCTGGTTGTATTCTGTGATATGTGGTCCGTTTCTTCTGTTATGGGCCATGAATACTTTGGGTGGGCCTTTTTAGACCAAAAGGCCCATTAATGACCTTGGACTAGGACTTTAGGCCCATTAGCAAAGGAAGGGTATTTTGGGCCTCATAGAAGGATGTGGGTTTGGGTTTTCCTGGATTAATTTGAGATCATAACATTGATTAATATGTCCAGTTCGACAGTTTGCAGACTGTAAGGAGAGCAGCTTGTGTGTTCAGCAAACTGAGGTGAGTCTTCTCATTATACTCATAGGTCTAAGGCACCAAGGCCGACCCATTATGTGATTATAATATATATATATATATATATATATATATATATATATATATATATATATATATATATATGTTAGTCATTTTGTGATTTGATATGATATGTGATTGTGTGTTTTGTATGAAGACCCCGGGGGAGCCCGTGACATTGGATGTAAAACCATATGGGCTAGCCCATGGCAGTCCTAGGTAAAGACCATGTGGCGTAGCCCATGACATTGGATGTAAGACCATTTAAAGTAGCCCATAGTAGTCCTAGGTAAAGACCATGTGGGGTAGCCCATGGTATTGGATATAAGACCATGTGGGGTAGCCCATTGTAGTCCTAGGTAAAGATCATGTGGGGTAGCCCATGACATTCTTGTTGGTTTCATGTATGCATGGCATATGTGATGCGTGTGTAGCTTGATTAGCTACTAGGATATGTGTATGCGTGGTGTGTGGTATACTCTGGGGAACGCACTAAGTGTTTCGCTTACAGGTTGTTGAATTGTTTCAGGTACATCGAAACCCAAGGGCAAGGGCAAGGCGTGATGATGCGGCATGCACTCGATATCCCTTTCACTAATATGTTTGGGGACACTCTGATGATTTATATAATGTACTGGATGATGTTTTAAAACTAAATATGGGATCTCATGGTTTTATGCAAGTGTGTTTATTAATTTAAATGGAATTTTTTCTTGAAAAATTGGGTCATTAAATTCACGGCCAAAATGATGTGTTCACGGCCTTGGGATGGTTCACGGCTGAAGAACACCTGATGATCTTCAAGAAAAGGTGAAGAATCAAAGATGGAATAAAAGGGTCTCACATGAATAACAAGAATAGGGAAGTGTTTCTTACACTTTTGAGGAGAAAGGAGGGTTCACGGTTGATGATACTTGAGAGAAAACCTTGATGTCCATGGCTAGAAGGAACAAAAGTGAAGAAAAATGGCTAAAACTCATATATATATATATATATATATATATATATATATATATATATATATATATATATATATATATATATATACATGGAGTTCACGGCTAAGGATGGGTTCACGGTCGTGAACATGGTTCGCGGCCGTGAACCTCACTTGATGAGGTTTATGGACCGAATGCAATACTCCTAACTCGTTTCCTTAGTGGCTCACTTCGTAACGCACAACCCTGATTTATACTAGGCTTAGGAACCTATAAGACCCTCTTCTCGCTAAGGGCCAAAAGTATGTTTCGGACGACCTTAATTAAAGCATTTCTCTGTTTTAATTCAGGTGTCTTTGTTCTTATTAGCTGTTTCTACTTCTGAATCGAAGAGTGTTTGCTCTAACAAGAAAACCTTAATGGACATATTATTGATCTTTTCTCCATTTTTTTTACCTTCTTATTGATAATCTTCTTCCGCTCTCTCTTTTTCTCCACGTAGGTGTTTAATAAACTCATATATGGTTTTTATTATATATAAGTTAAAGGTCCGCCCCTTTCTAATAACTTTTTTATTGTAAATGCAACAAATGTAAATATATATGAGACAAACTTTTATACTAAAAACATTTGAAATTAATTAAAAAAACAAGCCAGCACATTAATTAATAAACATTAACACCAAATCCATCAATCATTTTCGTTATCCTTTCCACCGCCCCTTATTTGAGTGCAATGGCTGCATTCTTGCTTCTTGATTCAATCGTATCTTTGACTCCCCGAATCGCAAGAATACAAATAAATTACATTGTATTATATAGGAAAGAATAACACATGAAAAATGTATAAAAGGACAAAAGACAACGATTAAAAAATATATATTCCTTTAATTTCATTGACATATAATCCTTTATACAAACAAACATACAT